CAACGGGCAACGAAGTGCACGGGATCAGCTAGTATTACTATATTAGTAATATTAGTAGGTATTACTTAATGGTAATTGTGTCAAATGACGATTAGTTTTGCAGCGTCAGACAGAAACTTGACAAGCCTAGTAGACAGTTGGTAATTTTTCGTTAAAAAAAATGTTTTATAAATGTTCGTACTGGCGATAATCGATTTTCGAAGAATTATGGTGGAATATTTTGGTTCCAACAACGACAGGAGAAAAACCATTATATATTTGTATGGTATAATAGAAAATAATTATACCCACCAAATCGGTTGTATCAATTTCATAGCAAAAAATATAACGCAACTTGTATGTTTATATGTAGGCACAATAAAACGTTAAATAAATACGGTATTTTGAATAATTAGTTCTTGTTAAAAAAAAAAAACTAACACATATTTCAATAATAGATTTCATTAACCCAGTTACAGTAATAACTAATAAATAATATGGAGGAGTTGTTGATGATAAAATTTAGTTAAACAGAGACAATTCGTTAAGTTATAAAATAATAAAATATAATCAAAGACTAGGTATTTGCCAAATTCAATGGACCAGTAGTACATGTTGTGACAACCACTGCAGTAATGTTAAAATATTGTAACATATAAAATGTCCATTCGTTATTTGTATAACCACTGGTTAGAGGCAGCGCACTTCCATATTTTTGAGTTATGCAAGACGTAGTGTACCTACTGCTTTGTTTGGATAATAGCGTTTAGCTAAACTACACTTCAATATTTATCCATCGTAAATAGTGTAATTTTACTACTTTTCAGATGCATTAAAAGTTTTTATCTGATAAAATTATTTTGTTTTGTCCAAAACTAAAATAAATGAAATGCATTCTAAATTTTAAATATATAACTTATTATTGATCTAACAAAATAATGAAACTGTAAATCACTTTCATAAGCACAACCCATTTGTTAAAAAAATTAATTACGTTTTTGTGGACACTTGCAAGTGTAACAGGTTGTACTTCAGATAGCCCTTTCTGAAATCAGAACCTAATGTAGTAAAGTCTAAGGATATTATTTGTTCAACTAAAAAATATAGTAGGTACCTAGAGAGTATTATGAAACTTAATATGCATATTTGCATGGCCGTAGAGATGATTGTACTGATTGTAGTAGGTATGGTGAATTTATATTATTACTGTTATTATTATTATTGTTGTTGTTGTTAAGATTAATTTCTTATCACATGCGTAAATAGTTAATTTTACCGGATAGATTTTTTTAACCATCTTGGCTCTAAAGTCTAGAGTATTATATGTACATTCAAAAAATGCAGAGATAATAGCAATTCACAAACTATCTAGTAAAACATAAAGTAACAATAAATTTTTAGTTCTCATCAACTTAAAATTAATTTAAAAACCTATGCATTTCCAATTTAAATACGTGTAGTACTAAGTTCACTTCAATAATATGAAATATAGTTTAATTCAACGAGATAATCGTAAAACAACTGGTTTGGCTTTGGCACAGTACAATGTTTCTGATTATAATTATTATTATTATTATTATTATTATTATTATTTTTATTATTATTATTATTATTATTATGTAAAATATTTGAATAATATTTTGGTTTTATTCCTACCGTCATTATTGTGTGCGCGTGTTATTATTAATAAAACTAATTTTTAGACAAAAAAATGTAATAGATATTAGGTACGTATTAGCCACAAGAAATTATGCTTAACATCATATACTTAGAAATAAATTTACTTTCTTTTTATTTGTCGTCTATTTTATTGTACACAATTATATCTAAATAGGTGTAGACGTCATGTGGAATAAGATTGGAATTTAAAATATAAATATTATAAATGCAATATGAAAAACAAATCATTATAGACCTATTAAAAAAAAAAAAAAAAGAAAGATTATTTGTATACATTTTTTTTGTATAAATTACTAATAATTATGACTTAATGTTTTTAAAAAGCCAATACAACAATTTCGAAAACAATAAACTTTTTTAATGGTGGGTTTTAAATTGACTAATATTATTTATCAGAAAATTACGTTACGTCATTGTACTAAATAAAAAATAAAGCAATGAAGTAATTACAAGTGTCAATTAATGTTTTTGTTGACAGTTGTTATAATTTCCCGCTCCAAACCACATCGAACACTTTAATATTAAAAATATTTTAAGTGACAATACCATTTATAATTTTTACTTTTTAGTAACATTCTGTATAGCTTGTGCAATAGATATAATATATTGCTAAAAGAAGAAAATCTAATAAAAATAACAACAAATTCAGAAACTTTCTAACTTTCAAACTATGCATAAAATACATCTGATATATTATCATGAATAAGACAAGATACTCCAGGGAAATCGATTTAGCTGTAGGCAGAATAGAAAATTGGAATTCAAAGGCTATAATATGTTAAAATAAATTTGACACGTGATAAATAATTGCGAATATCAACGGATAAAGTCCCGAGTTGGTACAAATTAAAATCGTTTTTATACCTAATACTATTATAGATTGATGATCTCTATTATCTTCAACGTATTTGCATATTGATTCAAGTCAAAAGACGATTGATAAGGAATACAATTTTATGTAGGCCAATCATCATTGGTGCAAATAGGGAAATTTAAACCTCCAAAAATCTGCAAAGTCCCCACAAATCAAATATTCCTAACCTATTAAGTAGTACTTAGAAAATATCATTGTTTTTTTTACAATTTTGAGATTAAAACCAATAAAAATTATTGAAAAAAACTTATTTAAAATGTTGTTTTTGTATCTAGTATCTATTATCATGTTATATTTTTCCATACCCAGCAGATTAATTTACCTATTATAAATGTATGAACATTAAATATATAACAAATTAGATCATAATAAATGTATAAAAACGTCCTCTCTTATCGGTTCTTAATTGATTCCAACGTTATTTCATTCTGATATTTTTTTCTGGATCAAGCACAAATAATATTAAGTCATAAACGATATTTTAACTCGAAAGTAAATTTATCGAACCTATGTCAGTGAGTCGAGCCTGTGTGTAGGTAATTCAATATAATTTGAGGAACATATTTTTGCACATTAATCGCATAGCAAACAGAAAATACAAGCTCCGGACCCCATAGTCAGTACCTATGTATATAATACGAACTCAAAATATTATACCTATAAAATGGAGATTTTTAAAACCCAAACGACATTTTAATGTGTTTGTTTGTGTTTTTGAGAACAACACGTGAACTAGCCATATGATATGGTTATATGATTCACGAAATATAAAACATCTACAGTTCTACTACAGGTTTGAACTTTTAAATTCAATTCAGTCGTTCGCGCAATAATACATAATATTATCCTCTATATATATATCCTCTTATATTCTCCTCTGTGGTGATTGACATCAATAATATATATCCATAACTTAACTGTTTTCCAAATACCTATATCGTTGTACATTTTGTTAATTTTAGTTCTATCTTGTGTAAGAAATAAAATAAAATATACTCACATAAGTCACATAAACGTTTATAACTTATAGTACAGGCGGTACCTATATCTTCAAGACATGAAAGACTCCGTAATTCAAACACCTAAAATCAAATTAATAAACATAAGAATTATGAACATGTTAAATCTACATGTTTTATGATTGCACCAGTGGTTTTCAGCGATAAGTGAAAAATAAAAATATTCGAAATTGGTATGTATTTATATATATTTTATACATTATTATACTATTATATTGTTATTTATTCTAATATTATACACTATTGCAAACTAAGCTTTTGTGCAAACAGTAATCTTTGGAATTTTTTTTCGGTAACATTTTGTTTTTTTTTAAGTTTTTTTACAAATATTTTGAAAAGAACTGGAAGTTTTCTACTTTCGCCTTCCTAAAATACCAAATAGATCACATTTTCTACAATAAACTACCCTCAATGTTTACTATCAAAGAATTTTCCCTACTGTAAAAAACGAGTACATTTTAAAATACACAAAAAACAACAACACATCATTGTGGAACCAATTCATTTATCTCAAAGCAGGTTGTATATTAGACTTTTGATTTCTTAGTATACGGAATTTAACTTTTCTTTGTAATACATTTTTCTGACTTAATATAGGTTATACGCTTCTCAGACCCTCCGCTTTAACTATCAGCAAAGAACGTTTAATTGTGTTGCTATTATTCGTTGAAACGCGTTCCCTTTAACTTGATAATTTATATCGTTTTTATTGTTTGAGTTATTTTTGGTTTTTTAACAGTAACTGAATATTTTATGTAAATTAAAAATAAAATCAACCCACCATAACAATTTGAAATACCACCTCTTTATGAAAATTGAGTGCCTGTACACAAGAAAAAATTTCAATGCAGCACGTAGCTTAGAAAAATGTTGAAACTTGGAACAGTGAGCAGCAGATTGAATCGATGTCATGAGCTTAAAGGATATTACAATATACTGCAAATAAACCGATCCTGTCTCATCGGCAAAACATAAATTCTATTTAATTTAACAAAGTAAATTCAAAGTTGCTAACTTATATATACGAATAACATTGTTAGTTGTTACACTTTTGTGTAAATTTATTAACAGTAATTAACATTGTTACGAACAACTTAGAAGTAAAATTACTTTATACGCGTATATAATATATATATATATTATATATATACCTTACATTTATTCATATAATTTTGCTGCTTTTCAAACTCAGCTTAATAATATTTAAACTCGCAGATAATTATTATAATTATTATATACGAGTATAAAACCGTATAGGTGCTACATATACTTATTATAATTTTTATAAATACTTCACAACCAATATGAATTTTTAGGACGATATTAAATTTAGTACAGTTTTTTACCACACCTATGTATATATTATATAACAATTTGTCATGTCCCCGTGCTCGTATATATAATATATTATTATATTAACTGCCGGACAGTTCAATTACCTCCACGACGGTCCCTCTGCAGCACTGCAGGTGTATATAGCACGACCGGATGATGAATATATATTTTTTAATTATACACTCCTGGCTGGTATTATTTCGAGTACGTGTGTTTTTTTGCACAGGTGTTTGTTTTGCGACGCAGTCCAAACAAATCAGAATTCGGTTCCTTGTTATTGTTTCGCTAAAACGAAATATCATAACTTCTCATTGGAGTTATGGACTTTTAACAATTTACTTATACTCTGTTTCTCTCTCCCCGCTGTCAGTACCGGACGACGCGCAACGACTGCTGTAATGCTGTGATACAATTGTCTCTCGAAAAATGTCGAAGAGCCGCTACTTGGATGTGATAACATGCCGTTTAATGATCATCGTCGCATTGATCGGAACGTACGACAACAACTGCAACTACTGCCGGGCGGATCAATCAGTGACTGTCACGAACTACCCACCGTACTTACATCAAGACCACTACTTCCGGTCGGACGGACTTCAGGGAGGCAGCAGCTTCGCAATCCAGGTCGCCGACGACGGAAACCGGACGGACGTGCAACGATTACTGGAGCGGACTTCGAACATAGTGTCCAAGTTCCTGCCGTTCGTCACTTCGGCCGATGTGCACACGCAATGCTACAAGCACACCGCCGCGTATCTCACTCAACTAGACGACTTTCAACTTTGGGCGACAAAAAGTAAGCCACAGCGCATTAAAAATTAACTAAGATCTAAAATTATTATAAATAATAAATGTATACATAGATATGACTATAATATCTTATTATACTATTTTTAGTATTGTTTACACAATGATAATAACAGATGGTATATTTAAGTCGACACGGTATAATACTGTAGGTACATTACAATTTCTATTTGTAATTTATATTATTATTGTAGAGGTCGAACGTCATTAAAAACTGGCATAATATATTATATAGAGAGGAAGGAGAGCAATAATAAAGTACCTATCTACCTCATATAAGGAGACCAACCTAATGGAGCCGCTTGCGATAGCTTAGTCCCCCCCTTCACCCCACCACAAAAAAAAATATTATTAACGATGTTCAACGAATTATCACTTTATAGCGTCCAAACGTTTAATATTGGATCGATTTGTCATGTTATTTTTAAACTATTTAAAGATTTAATTCTATTGAGTTTTAGTTTTTAAGTCAATAGTTATTATCTTTGTGGTTAGACTCGCCTCACCTCTGAAATAAAACATTTTAAATATTATTAAAGAGGTATACAAAAACAACTAAAAGCATATTATTGATTTTTTGCTGTTATAGAAAAAATGTTCGTTTAATGAATTAATAATTTAATAATTATATTATAATAAAATGTTAATTACATATAAATAAAAACTGCGTAAAAACCAAGCAAATTTAATCTCTTGTGATTTGCATGTCATAAGCATAATATCATAAATATTATTGTTTATTTTCAAAATGTTAAAAATATCAACAGCAACATACAACTATGAACTATACTCACTAAACACATGAAAGGCTGTGAGAAAAATGTTACAAATTCTACACTTTTCAAATATTAAAAAATACGAAGAAAAATTAAGATGTTTATTTAAAATTTGGAAATCAAAAAATAAATATAAAACAATTTACCTATCATAATAAAGTATTATTATATTATTATTCTTATGTCATAAAAGTAAAATTTAAAAATGATTGTTATTCTAGGACTATATTTATTAATCTCATAATTTTGTTGAAATTCATAAAATTAACAATGTCTTCTACAAAGATTTTCTATGGATAGTAGATATTTATTATGTCTTGAATTTCAACCTGCAAAATACAAATAACCAAAATTGTTTTCATTAAAACGAGCACAGTGGCACAACATACATTTTACCATTTACCTAACAGTTTTTGTGAAAGAATCTAAAATGCACTAAGTATATCAACTTACTTAGCAAACATATAGGATCACCAACTTTTTATCTTAGTCTTGTTCATATGCACTTTGCGCAATTGATAAGATGCATATAATTACCATTAATTGTGATGAACTAGTGCCTTATCGAAAACTTTCCAATATGAAACGACGTTGGTGATATTTATGCATTAAGCTCTATATTTTGATACTAGAAACACTTTTCATGTGGTATAACTTCTATTTACACGAGACCGTTTCCAGTTGTAAAAGACTAATGGTAGTTAAATAGAATAGAGACTCACGTCTCACAAGTTTGCATGTTATGAAATATGAGCTAATGAGCACCAGTGTTGAATATTATCAAGATACATGTTTCGAGAGAGATTATTTTATACATATTTATATATAATTTTCGGCGATTGAAGAATAAACACATGAATGTAATTACAATAATAATTTTAACTTATAGTTAATAAAAATAACAAAACATACCGGCGCCAACTGCAGGTTCCGCGACGGCAGTAATAAATGACTAATGAGTAATGACAATAATCGGCACCTATTATTATCTAACCTATTACGTTTACATTTATAATAATATTTTCCATTGCTGGTTCGTTCATTCTTGATAAACAATATAACAGTAATCGAAATATAAAAATATACTACTACAATTCTGCTTGATAAAATATACTTTTTATTTGCTAATTTCGTTGCTTAATGATTAGTTATCTGGGGGATTGAGATTTGGGGGGAAACATATTTGCACCACTGTAGTATGTACAGATTAGACTCATTGCTCAACTACATTCGGTTCAAGTGATTTCTGCGACCCCTAGTATTTACGTCCTGTCACGAGTTATATTACTTCACGATTAACAAACAACAATATTCCATTTACCAATGGACTCGTCACGTTTGGCCTGGTAATCTTAGGAACAGCTTCTTCGATCGTACTTCCGGTTATCTGTTCATCAGTAGTGAACCTATTGCAATATTTCAATTTGGCAACTTGTATGATATTTATCATAATGTAGAAAAAAAAATTAAGAGAGCGATAAGTAGAATAATTGGTCAAACGAAGTTGCAAACAACAAAAAGTATCAGTTGCGTTCACAGACAATGGAAGGGGAGTTAAGTTATAAAATCATGTATATCCAAATATTATTTTTATGTATCTACTAGCAGCTGACATGCACTTCGTTGTCCGTTTTATGATTCAAACTTTGTAACTAAACATGTTTGTATCGACCATCATCAATATCAAAATACTTATAGCAAAATACTTTATACTATAAAGCATCACTTTAAAATGTTAATTTTGGAAAATTTATTTTTGGCGTTCACTAATTTAGTGGTACTACGGTACCATAAAAATTTCAAGTCCCAAGCTACCATTGTTTAGGCTCTACTTTGATCAGTCAGTGAGTCAACAGGACACTTTCAATTATATTATATTATAGCCATCCCGCCCGGATTTGCCTGTGTCAAATAGGGAGCCCGCGAGACTCGCTTGTGATTATGCGAGCAGTATATTATCAGGTAGGCAATCCATCTTCGATGGACTGCGAACCCTTAAGGTGAGTACTTAAATGTATAATTTCTAACTCTTAAGTTTCAAAGTTATTCGAAGTTTGTAGTTTTTACTTAATCCAACTTAAGGCTCTTGGTTTATTTCCGAACGTGATTCAAACTATACTCGCTGAACTGACCTGGTAACTCTAAGACAATCTAAAATGTTCGTTGAAGTCAGTAGAGTGATTTTTGAGTTGGGCAACAAACATAGAGGTAGAATAATAATTGTATAAAAAAGCTCTCATATTAATTGTTTTAAGATATAACTTATTTATTCGAAACCATTATAAGAGTGACAATTTGATGCATGCTTTTACCTTATCTGCTGCCCGAGTACCTAACCGATGGAAATCTTTTATATAAAAAAATTCAAATTTCTATTAGTGCAGTTTGCAATTCTAACCTTATATCAATGACAACTATAAATAAACAAAAAAAATGTCCAATTTCCATCGTGAATCTTTAGCTATCATAACACTGGGCACAGATTGCTTATTTTAATAATAATTACCGTTGACATTTATTACACAAATTCCCACAAGCATCTAAAGCTATTGCATATACCTGCCACATAAATCTATTATAACTTGGTCAAAACATTTAAAAGTATTAGGAAGATTCAGGTAATCAGTAACTACTTAATATATAAGCCTATGTACCTTATAGTTAGATATTATAACATAGACAGACTGGACATGCTTCGCCGGAGGAATTTTCTTCTTCAAAAAAATCATGCATGATAACACTATTCGTATTATAATATTTGATTACTATATTACAATTTATACTATTAAAAATATATACTATACAGCTGATCCCGTGCACTTTGTTGTCCGTTAAAAATGCCATTTCTATATGAGACTTGGTGGTGATAATGCGAGTATTGAGCTATTTATTATGCCTATCTGCTGTGGGTTGCTTGATGAGTACTTCATATAAATAATATGTTTTATTTTGATTTTGATTGCGGGCAAGCCAATGAGCAGCTATAAGTGCAACTCAGCCACCTCGGTAGACAATGTGCGAAAATTCAATTGTATGCATGCTTATGCCTGATCTGCCCAATGAACCACTGAAGGCAACCAATAAACAAAAAAAATACCAATTTCTACTAAATATATTTGTATTTCTCCTATAACCAATAGCAACTATTTATAAACAAATATTTCCTTTGTAAATCTTAAAATTCCCGTTTGAACAACTCCCCGGGTCGGACCTATCGGGTCCAATTGTGAATCCAAACCATCCAGGGCGTCACTCAAACCCATACCAAAAAATTCATTCAAATCGGTCCAGCCGTTTAGTAGGAGTTCAGTGACATACACACGCACAGTCGAATTAAACGTTTAAAGAAGATAGTCATAAATAGCCGATATAGGCGTGTGTCCGTATATCTACGGGATATTGCAAAATATGGATATAGATTGTGGTGTTATACCTCCATAAAAATCACTATGGTAACATAATAATAAAACTGGCAGTCGTCGAATTTCAAAATATTATTTAATTTCACACGAGTAAAAAAACAGGCTCCAGGGGATGATATATCACCCTCATCACCCCAATAAACGCAATACCAGGCAGCAGGCCTACCTACCATAAATAGATTACAATCTGTTTGCTAAAATAATATTTCATTGCCTATATACGTGACAGAAGAATGCGTCATACACCGACATTGACTTTCTTTATATTAGGATCATGTTTGTTGTTTCTTTCTGCAAGGAAATAATACATTATAAGCTCATCTCATAAATAAATGAAACAATAAATAAAACCAAATTGTTTTATGTAATATAATAGTAAACGACTACAGTTTAATGCAAAAATATAATATTTGCATTAAAATAAAAACATAATAAGCTTTAGGTAATCTGTATATTAAACTGAATAATATTTGAATCTATTGTGTATAGGCACCAACTATATTAAACAAGTATACAACCGATAATCATGGAACTGAGTATCGCGTATTCACGAAACTCGACAGATATTTTTCATTGTGAAATAAAAAATTATAAAATACTTTAAATTATGAGGTGTGATTAGTAAACAAAAATAAATAAACAAAACGTAGTCATTATTTTCTTCACATTTCAATATTCCATTATACGATCAACTAAAAGTTTTGATGATTTTTAATTTGTATAATACTAGTTATACTATAATATACAGGTAATTATTTCATTAAATATATATTAATATGTTAAAACATTATGAGCAATTATGACAGATAAAATCAAAGAGATATTTTGAAGGGTTCGGCATCTCAATTTGTCTAACTATTGTTATAGGTGAATTTAATCAAAGTTTACTCAAAAACCATAAAAAACAATTTTACATGTATGCGTTTTGGTTATGTTATGTGTGGATATACAGAGAGAGAAAAAACAAATGGTGAGCTGACATCCACTAACACACGCCACCAAAATTATCACAGAATAACAAAGAATTGCACATGAATAATAATAATTTTACATTAAGTAATTTAATAATTTTTATAGATTAGTAAACGTTGTTAAGGTGTTATAACGGAGAAATTAAGTTTGTTAAACATGATTATTATTAGTGATAAGTGATAACGGCCAGTTAAACGAATTCTCTGAAGTTTATACAATTATCATAAAGTTGGAAACACAATGTACTGATGTAGACACCGTAGTATTACTATAGAAAGTATAAAAGAAATCAGTTTTTAAAAAAGGCCAGGGGTAGGTTAATCTGCCACTGGGCATATAACGCATACTTATGTGTGTGTGCCTATGCGACGTAACTATATTACATAACAAATTATTTTCAAATAATAAATACATAGTCTACATCGAAGACATTCCTACAATATTTAAACTAAATTATTGATCTGTATACCGTGTTTACTATTTGCTTTTAGTGTTTGACGCATCTGCTAAATTTATACCGACTGGTTGGTTTGACGGATCTACATACAATCTTGGGAACTTTGACGAATGCGTCGATGTCGAAGTATTTGAACGCGATGATTATATCCAAGGACAATACTGTCTAGTAGAAATCGAAATAAATCCCATAGCTCATTCCAAATTTAGATCACGTAAACACGTTTTTAATGAATCCTCGTGGGATACACTGCAGGCAAGTCGAGATATTAACACTGTATATTTTTTTTTTTTGACGAGAGAATAAACCCGTAGATTTTAAAAGAAAAAAACAATTACACATAAAACAACGAAATGAAAGTTTAACAAATTGATTCAGGTTTAATTGTGTGCTTACCTACAATAAATGATACAATTTTTTTCGTACAATAAACAGCAAACAAATTGTTATAACGCCCCTATCCCGTGCTTTTTTTCAGGAATTGGCATTCGACCCGAACAAAAGTATGCGGAACAGAATTTACATAGCGTACTGTGTACCACACACATGTAACAGCGGAGACGTGTCGAAACACATGGAAAGCATCCTGCGGGATATCCCTCAGAAAAAAATAACGACCAATGTTGGGACCGTCAAGTGTCAGAAGAATACTGCATTACCGTGGACCTGGGGAGATTATACATTTTTGTACGTGCTATTGATAAAATATTACATAAATAATATTGAGTTATCTATTCGACCCAAGCTCCCGCGATAGAACGAGTAGTTGCTGTAATGCTGTATAGAACATCTGACAGGAAGCGATTATTAAATGTGTAATTCTTTTTATATAATTTTACTATTTTAGGACACAAGACAGTAAGATAATAAGACAATTGGTGTAACACAAAATATTTGTCTCTCTTAAATTAGGTACCACTCATATACGTGTATAATTATTTTAGGTATTATAAAATTTATTATTATTATTTTTGTATTCAAAATAATAATACTATCTCTATTTTTTTATGCCAATTGCGAGTGGCGTTAAGTTTCCTCCGTTTGTACAAGGACAAATTTATCTATGTAGGAAATTAAACTTGTTCTATTAAATTTCCAATCAATTCAATTAGAATTGCGATAACATATTTGAATTTGTTGTGAAGAATTTAAGTCCACTTGACATCGATTTTCCGAATTTTTGAATTAATCTCAAGTTACACTAAAATACATTGGATAAATTGGAACATTCAAATTTAAAATATATAATTTATTGGTAAGCTTAAGGCAAGAGAAACGAAAATGTGGGAAAGTCCATTCCAAGTAAAATTCAAAACCAATTTAAATCTTTTTCGGGATCTCTATGCATCATTAGATAGACCTTTGCGATGGAAATATAAGACAAGTACGTCTATATTCCTATATTGCTTGTGTGATTGACATATTGTGGCGGAAAATCACTGTTTTCAATAAAGTCTCTAAGCGTTTAATTACCAAATTTTCACGGCTACAATAAATCAGCTGCTAGTCATCCACTCCGTTCTGCAAAACTGTGTACACGTAATATTATATTGTTATAATGGACTCTGCAAAAACAATAAATCACTGATAAATTAACTTGGCAATATATTATATATTTACTTTTCTTGTACGTCACTCATGACTTTTGAGAAATAAAAATTGTCTTAAAATATAAAAATATGCAAAGTCGTTAATTTCTGGACTTTATTAATCGTGTTAAAATAAATATTAAGAGCTATTAAGTTCGCACTAGCTTCACTTAATCTTTATTAACCATAAAACCAATTAAACGAAAAAAAACTCAGCGTCTCAACAATTAATAATGTCAAACAGGACAGTTGCGGCTGCGATTTTGTGCGCCTGGTATAGTGGTATTACAATAATTACACTACAGTTTTTTTTATTTATTTTGGGTCATTTTAAAACATTTAGATATCCTCTGATCGGTTGGTAAACCATACACAATCGTTTTCAGCTTGATATGCATTAACGTACGTGTCAATTTTGAATTTATTATTAACAAGCGTGAATAATGTTGTGTAGGGGATTATTCGTGAAAATCTAATATGGAACAGATATAATGACAAATTAATTTTGTATGTGGTGATAAAACAGTATGCCCATCTATTGAGAGGGATTAGTTGATGAATATAATATGATAGAAATACGAAAATATTTTACTTTAATTTTGAAAAAATTGTTTATTTGTTTAGGTCAATAATTGGATTCTCTTTAATTTCTATTGGCATGAGTACCTTCTATGACTTGTTTACTTCAATGTCTTCATTCGAGCATTTTCAGTTTTCGGGTAAGTCCCTGTAAAAAATGTTTGTATGTAGTATGTACCAAATATACGGAATTGTTATTTGTTAACCATATTACAGAAAAATCGAAAAAACATCTCATACTTCAGTCATTTTCACTATCGAAAAACGTTCGCAAGTTGCTTACCTTCCCGAAGACATCAGACAACCTAGAATGCATTCATGGACTAAAATTTATATCGATGTGTTTCATTATTGTTGGGCATCGCTTTATGTTTTCCTTAGGCTCGCCAATAATGAACACCAATTTTATAGAATACGTAAGTAAACTGTTCGTAATTACTAATTATCAAATAACTATAATATTTTATATTTTACATATTATATTACAGTTCTCATTACATATATTATTTATACAGACTATACATTTTAATAAATTTTGTTAATTGATAATGATTTGATATTTTATGATATATAACCTATAAAGTTCTCACAATGCAATAATGATACACTATTGTGTCATCTTCGAAATTTTAAAAAACTCTGCGGTCTCATGCTCGTCTTAAATACCTACAAATACAGTACAAACAGATATAGTTTTTTCGTCATTAGAATTAACTTATAAAATAATATATAAAAATTTAAATTATGGTGTTCTGATTTATTATCTATCGGCTTTCTTAAAAAAAGATAACAATAATAATGTACATGTTCAAAATTTCAAATGTTTCAATGTGCACAGGGCACTTCTCTAAAATTAAAAACTATACACGGCTGAATATTAATTTAATTTTCAAAACTGTATTTTCTCTATTTTAAAATCACAATAACAGAATATACCGAACAAATAATGAAATAAAGTCCATGTAGCTTTAAAAATAACAGCAATATTTGGAATAATATACACAATATTATACATTCCCCAAAATTAATAATTATTTGAACCACCGTACGGAGTACATAGGGATATACCTATTATCCTATGAATATAACCTCAGACCATCTATACTCCTACCACTAGGGGAATATGAAAAAAATATTATGTAAAACTAAAACATGATTTTTGAGTTTTGGTTTAGTTTTATAGCAAACTTGAAGCCATGATCATACTTAACGGACCCATACTAGTGGATACATTTTTCATAATAAGTGGCTTCCTTGCATGTTACTTACTATTGGAGCACATCCAAAAGAACCCAAAAGCTTTTCAAATACCACTTTTTTACATACACCGTTACGTAAGGTAGGTACTTAACAACAATAATTATCGATATAATAAGAAATTCACAGTGGAAAATGTTGATAACAAAGCAAAAATATTATTTACTTGATAGGTTGACACCAGTTTACGCGATAGTAATTGGATTTTACTGTACGATTTTTATAAGAATAGGATCAGGACCTCTGTGGAACGAGAAAGTGGGCTCGGAAGTGGAAAGGTGCCACGAGAGCTGGTGGACCAACATACTGTACATAAATAACTACATTGAACCTCAAAAATTGGTCAGTTAAAAAAAGTAAAATTGTAGTTGGTAGCACCGTTGATGAAGATTTAGAAATATTTTATGGGATGGGGGCTTGATTTTTTTTTTAAATTTAAATACCTTAGCAAAACATTCTCAAAACCCCACTTTTCTAAGGTTGAAAATAACTGGGTTCTGATTGATCTCGACTTTATTGAACATCTTTAATAATAAATGAGATATTTTTATTTCTTGGATGAGATGGGCCGATCAAAGATAAAACCATTAACTTCAAAAATATATCAAAATAGAATAATAATTTTAAATCAATAATACAACAAAAAATTCCAATATTACATACTCGTAATTCATTATTAGATAATAATATTTGTGGAATGTGGAAGTTGTTTATTCTGGTGGGTTGGGGAGTTATTTGAGTAGGGGCTTTGGGTACCGTATGGTACCGTATTGATTCAACTTAAAAAAAGGCAATTTATTAGATAAGCTGAATTGGTTCCCGTTTCTGTTAACTAATATTTATAAAAATAATTCAAATATTAAATTTTAAGCTATTATTAGCAAATAAAATCATACTTAAAAAACTGTATGGCGGACTACGTTAATAGTAATTTGCACGATAAAAATATTTGAAGAAAGTTTCATCAGAAAATTATCATCTTAACAATAATACATTTTAAATTCAGTTTATGAATTATTTTATTTAACTATTATTATTCCTTTTAAATTGGCAGCCCTAATAGTCTGTAAAAATGGGAATAGAAATGTAGATACTTGGTCATTTTACTGTGATAAACGGGAACCAACTATCGAACAGTTATGGGATATATCACAAATTTATACGAGATCCACTTCGGTCAAATGGGAACCAATTCAGCTACAGAGGGGTAATCCATTTCTCCCAATCTCCACCCGTACGTAATACCTAGGTATCTATATAATATTAACATTATAATTTTACTACGTTTATGTTTATTATTATTCATTATGTATAATAATATATTTACCTACGGTATGGAAAATTAATTTTTACCTCGTCCACCATGCAGTGTATGATACAGTCTTGGTACATCGCATGCGACACGCACTTGTTCTTGACAGCCCCGATCATCGTCAGTCTATTGTACCACAAACCGAAAATCGGGAACTCTGTGCTGGCACTCATATTGGCCGGGTCGATTTTCACTACTTTCTTCGTCACGTATTCGGGCAAACTGGACGCCTTCCTGTTAGTACACATCAAGACACTACGAAATCCCATCGACAACAAAACATTCCGCAGCCTCTATATACCGACGCACACGAGAGCCACTCCATACTACGTCGGCATGCTGACGGGCTTGGTACGGCACAAGATGAAAAACACTTCCTGCAAAATCAATAAAGTGCGTACTTACCTATTAATCGTAATGACGTATACCTACTATTCTGTTTGTAGGCACACGGACAACAGTAACAAACCGCTAGGGATAGTTGTCACTCGTCAGTCGTCTCTCATTCTCTTAAATGTCTCTCCGAATGCTACATTGGAAGGACGGAATGTATAACGAGGTGCATAACTACTAGGTGCCGTAACGAACTCGCAGAAACGATACTTTGTTTTATTTAAGAAATTGGCCCAGATCTTAATCAACCGAAAAATCTCCCTCTACAGAATTAATTACCTAATTTGCACATTATATAATATTTGTTTTGGCTCTGATGTAATCAGTTTGTTTGTAGGAACCTATTTGTTGTAAATCAAAAACCCACCCCCGTCGAAAACAAGTATGATTTCTTGAAAATTATTCATTATTAAAATATGATCTAGTTCATAAGCAAATAGGCATAATTAGAAGGCTTGGGTTTACTTAGCCACTCCTCAGTTTTATCCGTAGCCCCTCAGTTTTTAATGATATTATTTTAGTTTAAAATATCAATAAAATTATCAAGGCCTGTGCAGCTAAAATAATTCTGGATAAACCCATCTTAAAAATAATTCCCTATTGCGAATATGCATAAGCATGTAATTGAACCAAGATCATAGACTCATTAATTTTCTCTAACTTTTTTTGTTCAAATCCGTTTGTTAAAACAAGTATAAGTTCCATTTTTTCTATAAATAATTTATAACTTTCCCTTGATAAAATAATATTCTAGATAGTATGTTGTATTAGTAGAATAGTATGTACCAGCATACTATACAACTACAATTAATATCAATTAGGTACTCATAAAATAACTATTAAGAAATGAAAACCTCTTATGTCATAGATAATTATAATATTGTCCAGCCAGCCCCTGTTGGGGAAAGAAAAAACAGAAATCATAATAATAAACTAAATCATGTATTAAAATAGCTCCGTCTTGAGATTAATCTCATAACAAATAATTCTTATCACAAATAATACATATCGATGAAATTGTTAATCATTTTATTGCTGGTATTTCTTTTTCAACTTCTAATGTTAATTATTATACCTATAACTGACGGAACATGAATACCTTTGAAGCAAAATTCAAAATATATAGGACATAGATTAGGTGTATATAAAATATGAAAAACAATTATTAAAGTTAGTCGATGCAAACAAAACTTTCCGAGGTCATGGTGAAGTCAGCAGGTGGGCCCACGTCCGAATAACGTAATATTATACAAATAGGTTATAAGTAGCAGGTACCTATACAAAATGATTATTTTGTCACTAAAAAATAATTATTTGATTAAACTAGGCGTTTAAAAACAATTTTTTTTGAGTACAATATACATTGTTATAATTTATTACAACACAAAATTTTTGTTGAAAAAATAATATTATTTACTATTTTTTTTGTTAGGTTTACTTGTTTGTACACAAAACATAGGTTTTTAATTTTCAATTCCACAGCAGAATTTTTGTCTAAGCAACTTCGAACTAGTTATACAGTAGTTATATCTAGTTATAACTTATAACTTATAAGTATCAAAAGTTTTAAAAGTTTTGATGAACGGTGTTGAAGGTATTCCATTATTTTGCGGGATGCCCTTGCGCCACTCAAGAGTAGGTACATCACTCTTGTCATTTCACATTTAAACGTTTATAATTAGACTTTAAAGTACTAGGGTCTAGGAATATAATATTTTTTCAATAATGTTGATGTTTTCTAAAATATATTGAGAAAATGACTGACTGGTTAGTTGTAGCTAATAGCTATAAGAAAATTATTATGTACAATCAACCAAACCGTGGAGCTGAAATGTGTGCAAAATACGGAACATCATTACATCAAAGAATACTATTTTAAACAGTGGCAGATTAAAGTGAATAGTCAAAAAACAATAGGTACTTTTTAGACCTAAAAAAATGTTTTGTCATTTTTGTATTGACTAATAAATATTTTATTCTGTATAACCTAAATATAATACAATAATAGATTAAATGGTATTTAGAAGTTTTCTGCGTGGATCCCTTAGTTAGTGTCACAAGTGCATCCGGAATAAGGTATCACCCAATAGCGAGTTTCCTGAGTGTTTCCCAAAAAAGACCATATTTTTTTGAGTAACCCAAGTAGCTGCTTGGATGCACTAATCAATAGAATTCCTGTCACACTCTGGATACCCCTGTTGGCTGCTTATAGTATGTAATATATTATATATTTATGTATATCTTGCTAGTAAAACCTACGTAGGTATAACGTCGTTATCTACAAGACGGCAAGGCGAAATAATCGAAAAACAACCAAAATTTATCGACTAAATCTCTTTTACTGAGCACTATTCAATAATTATTCCGGTATCTCGTAATTATTATGCCCATTGACCTTACAATAAGAAGTACAACTGTAAACATATGTATTATATTATTATAACGTTTCCTCATCGGTGGTAAATGGTAGCAATGTTAATATTATTAAATGATTTGTTTGTATTGTTTATCAATCAGTACGTGGTATGGTCGAGTTGGATCGTTTCGATAGTCCTCATATTCGGTACGTTGTTCTCGGCCTGGTGGTTCTACAAGCCAAACTACAAGTACGACGCTTTCGTTGCCGCTCTGTACGGCGCACTGTACCGCATCACGTGGGCCGCGGGTGTTAGTTGGACAATCATCGCAGTATCCACCGGTAACGGAGGTAAAAACAATACCGGCCAACGATATTTACCCGGAAAAGTGCTTACCTATGGTCACTCTGGACATAGCCCATAGACCAGAGATGGCGAACCTATGACACGCGCACACTATTTTAGTGACACACACGAATGTGTAAAAGTTTGATAATAATTGAAGGGTTATCGAACTAGGCCTAGCTGACACGCAGGGAAAACAAAATCCGACCAACATTTTTATTTGGCACGCTGGTACAAAAGGTTCGCCATCCCTGCCATAGACTATCATAGCTGCGCCGTCCACGTTATTAATAATAATTATTAGTGTTCTAATGAGTTCGCATATTATGTACTATAGGTTTTATCGAACCCATCCTGTGCTGGAAACCGGTAATAACACTAAGCCGGTTGACGTACTGCGCATTCTTGTGCCACGGTGGACTGCAGTTGTATACAGTCGGCTCCATTCGGACACCGTTTCACGCGTCCGTCTATAACCTGGTAAATATTATTAATAAATAATTGATACCACCTCATTATTATTTTATTTTTAAACTCGTTTTTAAATTGCTATTGTTATCGTCATCGTAGGTGTGGTTGTCACTTGGAGACATTACACTAGCGTTCCTGGCAGCTTTCTGTTTGACATTACTCTACGAATCACCCATAATCGGTTTGGAAAAAATTTTCTTCAATCCAGGTTTATATGCAAACTGTTATAATTGACTTTGATAAAATAATACATTACCAAATTTGAGATGGGCGTATTTTAATTTTCAGGTAATAAATCATGTTATGTTAACGACATAAGGACTAAGATAAGCAATCTAAAAACAAAACCAGAAAAATTTCAACAAATCACAACTCCATAGTCCAGTTATAATAATATTTAAGATTTTAACTCGTGTCTGTACATCCTCAGTTCCTCCACGTTTTCATTTCATATTGTCTTATTGTACCAACTTTTGCTATATATTTTTTAACCATTCATAAAACTATGATTTAGTGTAAAAAATAGAATTAATACTATGCATATTATAAAATTAATATAATGTATATAATGTATAAATAAGTTTATTTGAATTGATAATTTTACTTAATTGTAAGAAATGTTTACCTACACTCATAAAATAAATACTTGTAATTAAATATACGCATAAATAATTAAGCACAGTTATAATAATGTTATGTGTGAGATAGGAGGTAAGAACACTTAGCTTGGAATTATACAATTAAAAAAAAAATATTGTGCAATATAAAAATCACTTGAATAGAAATATATTTTTTTTTATTAGTCCATAGTCCATACCTACTACATTTAATATTTTTTGAGAGACATTAATTTATACATTATCAAAGTATATGTAATATGTTTAATTATCCATATTATAAGTTTATCTCAGCAACAGAATTTTTTGTTAATCACATTCTAATTCCATCACATAAAAAAATTGTCACTTAAATGTGTAGTCAGCAAGGTTTAGCATGTTTAGTCTGAACAGTCAAAATTTATTTTACTAAATAATTTAAATGGGGAAAAATGTACATTAATGACCTAGATCAGAGGTATTCAAACTTCTTCATCTCACAGCTCAGTGTCTGCACAAAATGTTGATGGCTTCCAAATTATAAACGACAAAAATCAATGTTTATAATTTTATAATATGTACTTATGTAAATTATATTTTATATAATTTATTTGTCATATTATGATGTAATAAAAAAAATTATAAATAAGTTGGTTATGTAGAAAAAATTATAATTAAATATTTTGTTTAGTCTTAGTAAATATAAATCGATAAAAAAATTAATTAATATTACTTAAAACTAAATTTTTAATGATGGATGAGCTTGTTTATTTTTCATAATATGTTCAAATCATGGTTCAAGTTTAGAAATAGCTTTTGACCAATATTTTGTTTTAATTACATCTAACATAGAAAATGCGGTCATAAACACACCATTTTTAGTCACTAGTAATTTACTAATATGTAATAAATTAATAACTTTGGTATACATATGATAAAAAGCCTTAAAATAAGAAATATATATTGGTTTTCAATTATAAGACAAGGCTCTCTACGTCAATTCCTGCTGCGCACTGTTTGAATACCTCTGACCTAGACTATTTTTGGATAATGTTACTGGCACAGTGAAGAAGTTACTCCAATATTATGTATACTCAGATTTAAATAGGGGCATTATTATAACAATTATTTTTTTATCAATAACTTATTTTTACAATATTCTGATTCTAAAGAATAAATTAATACACACTCATTTTATAGAGCTGTTTTTATTAAACATCTACATTATATTATTGATTTACTTCATCACTTTCATACATTTTTTTCATTTAAACAGCTTTTATGTTGTCCTAAATGTAATAATGGACAATTATTTTTTTTTGTATAATATGCTATAGGAATTGTGTCATAAAAAGATAATTTGCATAATGGTTTTTGAAAATTCGAAAAATGATCCTCAAATTTACAGTTTAACTAATATTACAATCTGGTAAAGGAAATTACGGTGGCTATTTGAATGTATTCATAAAATGTTGCCTGAAATAGTGCAATTATTATAATATTAAATACTAAGTTTGTCATATTCTATTATTGTAATATGGTATTTTTGAAGTTGATAGTGACAAACCCTAGAATGGTGCAAAAATGTAAGAGAAATAACAACTCAGAATCTATAAACAGAATATTCTATTTCTTAAGCTCCTCATATTTTAGTAGAATATTAGGTTACCAAAACTTGACATAGGTAGTATCGAAAGAATGATCGATTAGAATTTTAGCGCAAAATTACTGATGTTATAGAACACATTACTCATACTGGCCAATGAATGTAAAGAACTAATTTAATAGACCTCATACAAAACTTACCTAATTTTAAATTTGTATAGTTCTTATAATTTTGATTTTATGAAAACTTTATTTCCCTTAGAGTTATATGAACAATATTTAAATTAATGCTGACTTCAACAAAATATATAATTACTACCTATTAATTTTATAACAAGAATATCATTTAGCAAATAATTGAACCTCAGTAAATTAAATTATGGATTTATTTATTTTATGATTGATCATTTGTTTTAGTTCATCACCAAAAATAATTATCATTCAGGGCATGATTTTATTACTTAAAATCTGAGATACACAAATTATTTCAAAATTTTAAAGGTTAAATTACTAGTTCTATTGTTGGAAGGTATGCAAGAAGATCTTAAATATAGTCAGGAAGCGTAAAGGAGGACCATAACTAAGTATGTATCAGGACTAACACACCAAGATATTCCACAGAACTCAAAAGAAATCAAATTATTTATCTAAGTGTATTGTATATTTTAAGTAAACCAAACTAATGGTAGGTACAATGAATAAAAATAACTTACAAAAGTCAACTTATTATAAAGCTATCAAATTTTATGTGATCTTTTGGAAATACCAAGCGATCTTGAGTAAAAAAAATTACAAATTAGATCATTAAAAAAAAATCATTAGGATTTCTGTAGAATACTAACAGAAATATTGAAGTTTTAAATTATAGGGAACAATAATAAATTGGGGCGTACTAAAGTTCATATTAAATGGAACCTGTATCATCGTTGTTTAAAATTTTTATCTTAGGAATGTGACGTACGACGTTGTCTTGGTGAGTAGCTCCTTGAACGTGACCGTGAAGGCGGTGCACGGCGTTTGGGAGATCGTGATCGTGATCTAAAATACATTTTAAATAGTTATATATCATAATAATAACACATACTATAGCCAATTCCATTTCTCGCCGGAGAATATTAATCATACTTACTTATTGCAGCTCCTATTAAAAATACTTATAAAAAACATGTCATAGGTAATTGTTTAAAAAACAAAACAAAAAACTAAATACCTTTTAACTTACAACTCTCAATTTTCAATGAAAGAATAAATAATACCATATGTTGTTTAGATGGAGAGTGTGAGTGGAGACGTTAAAACAGCCAAGAAAGCATACGAGTGCTTGTGAAGAGTTGATCGTAGGGTAGAGGCGTTGGAAGAATATTGTAGAATAGTGTAGAATAGGCTGTTTCCACCCGCATGATGTTAAATAACACGTTACGGTATTTCAATTCGGTAGAATTGATGGAGCGAAGTACGAAAATTGTTGGTCAAGTCATATTGTCAGTGTGAGATTTTTTTATAAGATGGGATGATAAATTTTTTTAGTATGGGCGAAAACCAATGATCCTTTTCCTGTAAATTATCCCAAAAATAAAAAAGATCCAATTAAAGCCCAATTAGAAAAAAACAAATAAACAAAAAAAATTATTTTCCTAAGAGAAGTGAACCTCATATTAAAAAACAAACTTACCAGAACAAGGTAGGACAAGGAAATAAACGAAAATTATATTTGCAAAAAATCAATGAGATAAAAAAAGGCAAATTCATTCAGCAAAAATACATTATTAATGATCAACAGAAATTCAAAATGTAATAAATTATTTTCTAGAAGAAAAAGTTAATTAATTAATGTTTTTTTTATATTTAAAAAATTATCTGGAAAGTATACTGAACCCACTGTTTAAACGAAACTCAAATTAAAACACAAATTCAAAGTTATTATTGCATTCAGAATTAATTAATAAAATGTTACCTCTCATTATACCTATCATTGTAGCGTGGAGGACCTCTGTTGTATCCACCACCTCCACCGCCGCCACCACCACCACCTCTGCGATCACCTCCTCCACCACCACCGCGACCATCGCGTCCACCACGAGGTCTATTGCTTGACATTTCAACACGCACGCGAACTCCACAGATACGGCTAAACAAATTGAACTTATTACTACAGGTATTTGAAATAGTTTTACATATATCATGTTAACTTACGTTCCATCAAGTCCCCTGACTGCATCTTCAGCATCTCTAGGATCTTCAAATTCAACAAAAGCAAAACCCGGTGGATTTCTAGCAATCCACGTATTTTTCAATGGACCATACTTGGTGAATGATGCTTCAATTTCATGTTTAGTACCATTTTGGCCCAAATTACCAATGTATACCTTGCATGATTGATCCCAATCACGATGAGACATGTTTGTTTAAGTCTTGACAACTAGAAAAACAAAAAAAAATTATTTAACCATAAACTTGTCAATAAATATTTAGAAGAAAAAATATTAAGTATGCACAAAAACCTACTTATAAATTTCAATAGTAAATAAATATGTAGATACATAAGAAGTATTTTTGATTGGGAAATTACAGATCTTAATTGAATATAAAAATCTCATTTAAAACAACACCTAAATTCAAAACTTGGCCATTGAGTATACACTTATTTATAATACCAACAATTGAACAATGTAAAAACCAGGACGTTGCACTCAAATCATTTATTCAGATTTCTAATACCAGATGTATGGTAAATAATTTTAAATAAACATTTGGATGTTATTGACTATTATCATAATACGAGTGTTAAGTAGTTCAGGAAAAACTTATATAAAAACTATGTACCTAATATTCAACCCATAAAATATTACTGATAAATTATACTAATTGATGAATGGATGAAACTAAGTGTTGGCAACAAAAAATATTTAATAATAAATACCTATCGTTGTAAGACTATTCGTCAATTTACCACAAAATAAACATACCCAGGTACATAGAAATATGGCATCACATGCAATTTGTGAAATAAAATTTTTTTCGGGTTTTAATTAATTTGGATATTTTGAAAAACAAAACATTAAAATTATATGGAGAGCTTAAGATTGTTTAAAAGAACGCCACACACGCACATGTTCTCTCTGTTTTACAAACACGTAACATACCAAATTTACACTCAGCAGTTCACGATTTATGCTGTTGGCTTAAAAATTAGAGTGGATTGACCTATTATGAAACTTGATGAAATATTATACACACATACCTCACTTAAACACTGAATTATAGTTAACCCCCAACAAAACACAGATAAAGTTCTTACCATCAAGTTTCATAATAGGCCAATCAATTCTAATTTTTAAGCGAACGACATAAAAGTAAATTTGGCATGTTACGCGTTTGTAAGATGGAGACAACACATGGTGTGACGTCCTCTTAAGGGGTATTGTGAATACCAGTTAATTAGGATATAGGTTCCTCTGAAAACACCATAATTATGGTACAACAATAACAACCCTACTTAATCACCGATAATATAGTAAAAATTTCCAATAACAATCCCATTTTTCATTTTTTATCACAATTCCATTTTAGTTAAAAAAATTAAATTTCAATTGCCTAACAAAAACTGAGATAAAACAAAACATTAACCTTGGAAAACGCTAAACATTAATAATATTTTAGGAATATTAGTTTCTTCTAATGATCTGAAAGGATAATAACAAATAAACATTATTTATAAATAAAACACTAAAATTGTCAACATGACTTATTAATAGGTTCATTATGCGACTAGCAAATAATAGCATTTTGTACTAACTTTATAAAAATGTTTACAAATGCTATTTTCCAAAATACATAATAGACACAACACAAACTTGATACCTAACATTTTACGTAATTAAATGTATAAGATTTTATGGTAGATGGGTTCCTATATATGTATATTTTTTACTTACTTCAAATTGAAAAAAACTCATTATCTAATAAAACATTCCAAATTTAGAAACAAAAATTGATTATATTCACATAGGTACTAATATTAGTACAAATAATATCAAATAAATAAAAACGCTAAGACAAAGAAAAAATAATTTTTTATATACTATAAACTTTTTCTCTACATTTGACAGACAGAGACAACACATGCATGAGAAGCTTCCTCTGAAGTGTTTATAAAATCAATAAGGTATTTTTTTGTTTAATTAAGTCTTTAAACTGATTTTACCTACCAAGTTGTTAACTAGTTATGAAGCTTCTTATAAAATGATACTTAGTCAGACACTTTTAATACCGCCCAAAGATCTTGATATTACAATTTATTATATGTAAATAGCATGCAAAAATGTTAAGACATTTGTTCTTAATTATATTAGGTACTGTTAAGTGATATTAGTAGATACTAAGTACCTACAGTAATTTTTTTCATTATATTATATGTTTAGCATGTCAATAAATACTACAAGTAGAAATATCATCAGGGGAATTTTACATATCATTTTCATTGAATATAAAAAAAATACCTATGAATCTAAGCACTTACAAACTCTTAAACTGAATAGAGTATAGGGAGGTTGATGCAAATCAATTACAACGGGCAAAACATAATTAACAGAATAGAGAGGAAAAAATTATGCCTCTCCTCAATTGCATTAACAGGGCAGGCAGAATAGCAATCTTCGCGCGGCGAGAAATGTTTAAGATTTAAACCCTCAGACATGGAAAATCTGTAGGATTACGACAACACAACAGAAAAAATATCAGTAAAATATCTACATATTTATACATGATTAGTAAATAGAAAACAAAAACCCGCTTCCTGAAGAAGTCATGAAATCGGGGGAAAAAAATGTCCGCCCCGCAAAGGAAGATCAAGCGGCGGCGGCGGCGCCGACTCGTTCATCCCTTTGTCGATTATGCGACCAACCTACCGGCAACGATTCTCGGTAAAATAGAGTTGTAAATACAGTTATTTATTATTAATATAATTAATTGTCGCTTTTGCATACGATGTTGACGATATATACTCACGTTTCGAAATTATATTTTGGTGAATCGTGTGGGCGGCGTACACTTGCTTGTATCTCAGCTGCTGCGACAAGAATGTGAAAACTTAAAAATTTTAAAACCGGTAGTTGTTCGTTACGTGACTAAATGTAAACCCGATGCGATATCGTCGTCAACGAGGTCTACGTAGACTACGAGGGGGGAAAGAAAACAAAAAGAACAACTAATAACGATAAATGACAAAACGCTCACACAGCGGCCGAGTCATCAGCAGCCAGTGGAGTAGAAGTAGAGTCGTGGAGGACCCCGTTCGCAGTGGTCGGCGGCGCTGAAATAGCGAAATGGTGGAAGACGACGATAATATGTAAACAAAATGGATGACGGACCCGGACGCGATGGTGCGACGTTGCCGATGTCAATGTCGCACGGTATGGAAGCAAAACGACCGGCTTGCCCAGCAACGTCGCGTGAAACATTTCAAAATAATAACAACAACTACCTGTTTAGTTGTTTATAATACTTTTTTATCAAAGGCCCTGGTTCCGGAATTCCAGATTCGTGTTTTACATGCGTTCGCATTAAAACAATAGAATAAATGATAGATATATTATGTAGTGTTATATAATATTATTACTATAAGTATTTACTTTGTAGTGTCCTACCACAACCACAAAATAGAATATAGATTACGATTTACATTTTACGATACAAGAATATACGATTCGAATGATGTGATTTATAAACCGTGTTTATTACATTAAACTGAAAGAGTCATGAGAATATAGTGATACAGTCGTTCTACCTCTTGAGTCATGCTATTAGAGAACATAAGACATAAACATAACGTGAAATATTATAATATAATAAGGTAATATTTGTGTATCATGTGTGGTGGTGTAATTTACATAGAAAAGTTATAAAAAATGTTAATAGTATGTACCTACTGTATAAGTACTTTGAACAGATTCCTAATGAATTACCATATTATCAATAAACAGAATGCAGATAAATTACTGAACTCAATACCTCTAAATATATACAGCCAGTCAGATTTTGTGTGCACAGTACTCTGGACGATAACTAATCAGTAGTCATGACTTCCCATCTATTCAAGCCGTTTAGTAGTATACCTGAACCAAAAAGATGGCCTCTACTGGGACACACGCATTTGTTCATCCCAAAAATTGGTAGGCATTATTTATATCGTTTTATTCGCTTTCTTATTTGTTGGATTCTGGATTACTTCAAATTTTTTTTATAAAAAAGGTCCTTATGACTCTCGACGTCTCACAGAAGCGATGGGTGACATAGAACGTATGTTGGGCCCAGTGTTTAAACTGATGTTGGGTGGCACTTCAATGGTCGTTGTTACAAGAGTGGAAGACGCCAAAACAATGTTTGCCCATGAAGGCAAGCACCCAGCAAGACCCATATTTCCAGCTTTAAACTTACTCAGAAAAAAACCATTTGGCACCGGAGGATTAGTATCTGAGTAAGAATAATTAACTACATATATAACATTATAAAGAATTTAAAATAAATATTTTATATTTTTTAAATAACCAACTGTTACTGAAACTTTTGCTTATGGGATGTCAATATTTGGGTTTAATTTTGTTTTCTGTTACTTTTTTTCGCAATCTTTATTTTTCAATTCAACCACATTTGTGAAATAAATAGTTAATTTTTCAGAACTGTACGACTTATAAGTTGTATCAATTTATCATGATATGGGTAAATCATATTAAATATCAACACATTTAATTTTAAAAAATGTGTGTCCAACTCTAATATTTAACTTATAAGTGCATAAAAGATTTGAAAAGTGTATGATAAAAAAAAATATGTGTTTTTACCTACCTTATACTTTTGGTTTCAGTTATAAATTTACTTCACAGTACAGTTCCTACCTAGTTAGAGTTCAAGGTGAATTACAAAAATGTAAACAATTATTATATACTCTGAGATTTTTTGTTTTGTGTATAAGAGATAGTGTTTAATTACAATACCATTTTAAATCATAGACACACAATAAAAATACATACTGATAGAATAATATTAAATATTGTGACTTAAGTGCTGTTGAGAAATTTTAAATTGCTATTAATTCAATGTCCATAGATTTATCTGTTTTCTTAATTGTTTCTTAACAATGTTATTCGTTGTTAGATTGACAATTAATTGAAATAAATATCTGATTGCAGAAATGGTGTCGAATGGTATAGACTGAGGAGAGCTATTGCTCCGTTAATGTCAAAAAATATTTATGAAAGTTACATACCTCGGCATAAAGAAGCAGCCGTGGATTTCATTGACTATATAAAATTGAACAGAAATAAAGACAAATGTTTGAAGGATATATTTTACCACTTAACTAAATTTGCTGTTGAGGGTAATTAATAGCTACATTTTGATTGCGTTAGCATCATTATGATTACTTTTAAGTTTTAATAAATTATTTTTCTTCCATCCAGCAATTTCTATAGTCTCGCCCGGCTTAAGAATAAAATGCTTAAACACGACCATGTCAGAATGTTTTGTAGAAGCAGGAAATAAATTCATGGATGGATTGTACAACACCCTCCAGGAACCGCCTATTTGGAAATTTTATAAGACAAATGCCTATAGAAATCTAGAAAGCTCACATTCCACATGTAAAAAGTAATTTAATACTATATATCACATCCAAAAGTAGTTTATATTATTCGAAATTTTCAGTTTTGTTGACGAATACCTGAAACAGACTCATGAACACAATGCTCTAGTTAATGCCATAAATACAAATTCGAATTTATCAAATACTGATAGAAATTTACTTGTGCTAGAAATATTTTTTGGCGGTATTGATGCTGTCAGTATTTATTTGTTTTTGTAACTTTAACATGAAAATAATATTATTTAATTTCTAATATAGACAGCTACTACATTGGCAATGACATTGTATTATATTTCTCAAGACAAAAAAGTACAGAAAGCTTGTCAGGAGGATGTCTTACAAGGAACAAATGCATATCTAAAGGCTTGCATAAAAGAAACACTTAGACTGTCCCCTACTGCAGGTGCAAATGCCAGATATCTTCCAAAAACCACTGTCATTGGTGGCTACGAAATTCCAGAAAATGTAAATGCAAAGTGATATTATTTTAAATATAGTACAGTCATAGTTTACACTTAAAATTCTTAAATGTTAGACATTGGTTATGGCGTTCAATTCCTTAACATCAACAAAAGAAAAATACTTTAAAGCTCCATTAGAGTATCAGCCCAGTCGATGGTTAAGAAATTCTAACATCCAAAAGTTTGATCCGTATGCTTCGTTACCTTTTGGACATGGGCCTAGAATGTGTCCAGGCAGACATGTCGCCATGCAAGAAATGACAATACTCCTATCTGAAGTAAAATACAAATACTAGTCATCAAATGAAATATTAAGCAATATTACATATTATTTTCAGTTAATTAAGAATTTTCAAATCAGTATGCCAACTGAACAAGCAAAAAATATTGGTATGATTTATCGCATGAACAGAATACCAGACAGTCGCATAGATTTAATATTCAACAATAGATAAACACATTCATTTCGGAAAACATTATTTATTTTTTTTTTTTTTATATATTTTCTCTAAACAATCTTCAACTTTTGTGAAATAAAAATGTATCACTAAATATATATAAAGCACGTGCTACTAAATGGTATAATATATCTTTATCTTATATACAAATATAATTACATAATGTATATCTATATTTTATGATATTATATAATGAAAATAAGAGATTTTTTGTTTTTAATGTTATACAGACAACATTATGTACAAAAATATACAATATCCACATGTATCATATTTAAATGTCACACATTGTACAAATATTTATGTGTATAAAATATATAATATATATACACATAATTGTAAGGCAACATAAGATACGTGTAAAAATGATAAACAATTCGTCGTTTTGTTTCTTAACAAATAACATGACAAAAAAAAGTCTAACAAGTAAAAAATAAATAATAGTATATCATTTTACAATTTTTTTTTCTAATTAGCCTGCATTTACAATTTCATTTGTATTTCTTTTCTATATTTTTCGATTTTAAATTGTATAATATTAAAATGACAGATGAGATCAACGCGAGAACAATATCTTGTCACAGCATTTTATAATTAGAAATATTTGGGTAAATAATAATAATAATAATAATAATAATAGTAGTAATAATAATAATAAAATAAATAATATAATAAATAATAATACAAATTATTTTTTTATAATATAATAAACTATTACTATCTGTCAGTTTAAATTGTATTCTACATAACGCATGAAAGTGTATGTTTTAGAGAACAAGCTATTATGAGCATACATATAAAATCATTAAAACTTAGCTCTAAATTCATAATTGACGTAAAACAATGATTAGAAAAATAACTCACTAGTTCATTTGTATGCAAAAAGAGTTCATGTACTTGAACAAGGAAATATCCAAAATGATAATAAATAATAATCTTGTTTGGTATTGAATGAAACCGTTTAAGCTTTTCCTGATTGAGTTAAAAGAAAATAAATGTAGATCTCGCATATAAGACGTAGAGTTAAAAGTATATTGAAATATCATTGACAGTTTAACAAAAAATATTGCTTGCAATAAATGACCCAAAAGTTCTTAAAGGGGAACTAACAGAATACCATAAATACTAAAAAATAATAAATGTATAAACCTATATAATAATAAAACCAATTGTTAACAATTATGACAATGGGTGTTTGAACATGTCTCAATGTTCAAAATTAAACTACAAATGTAACAAAGAAAAAATAATAATAAATTATTATTTTACAATTGCACTTGGGTTTATTGGGAAAAGATTAATTGCTTTCATAATTAATAGTTGGCGTCATTTTTACTTTTAATATATAATACAAATTGTTAAGGAAATTAAAACAATATTTTTGCTAAGAAGTATGAATTATTTTTGTTTTTAAGGTTGTAGACTACAGAGATGTAAAATTATTATTAGTAAATAAAAACTCATTTTGAAAAAAAAACAAGTAGAAAAAAGAAAACATTTTATATTAATGTTGTAAACTTGTTTGAAAAATGTCTGAATAATTTATTGGCTGACTAACATAGTAAAGAAAGGGAGAATTAATTTTAAGAAATTAAAAAATTGTTTAATCAATAAATAAAAGCTCCCTTTCCCATCTTTCTATGATAATAAGATAAATTAAACTGATTAAAAAAAATAAATAGAAGTTATGAACCAAATACACTAGTTTGATACTGATCGATCACATCTAAGTAGCATTAATAACTTATTTGATTACATCCAAGGAGGATGCCTATTCATAGGATCGTGCACATTTAAATACCCTGGTGGTGGAAAGCCTGATAGTCCTTGGTGCAACATCATCGGATGCCTCTGTAAGAACTGTGAATAAATATCTGAAGGGTTGGGGGGGTTGTATGCTTCTAATGGTGGAGGAGCATAGCCTGATGGAGGCCTTGCAAATGCAAATGCAGGATTTCTTTCTTCTGATTGTGCTGCTGCTGCTGCTGCAGCTTGATCTGCAAAATAGCCAGTTGACCGTATTTCATTTAGATAATCCTGGTAGCCATCCTTGATGGCTGGATTGAAGTTGAATGGTCCACTTGACATAGGTGGTTTTACAAGGGGTGGATAATGATGTGGGTAGGGGGGGTCAGCACGTGGTGGTTCCACACTACGAGGGGGTTCCACTACTGTTTGCGCTGTTGTTGACGCCATTGTAGAATGTGGTGGAGGCAGTTGTTGTTGAGCAGCAGCAGCAGCTTTCTTCTTTTTACTTGTTTTCTTGGCTGGCTTGGGAGGCAACTGTTCCATCATTAAAGATCGGTTTATATCCAATTTTGATTTTGTCATTTCAGCCACAGATGAATTTGGAGGATAAGCTGGTTGATTAGCTTTCACCATGTCCGCCATAGCTGTATTTACGTATGTCGGTTGATTTGCTTTAATCATCTCAGCCATACTTGGACTCGAATAAGTAGGTTGACTTATTTCCATTTTATTTTTCATAATTTCTGCTACAGACGGTCCAGGATATGTTGATTGATTGTAACGATAACCCATGTTTTCAGGTATAATATTTGGTAATGGTCGACCAGTTGTAAAATCAATATTTTGTGACTTGCCTGGTATCATATCTTGTATTGGGTGTGGATATGACTTGCTAGGAAGCACAGGATAATTGTAGGGCCGTAAATTGATTTGATCTGGGTATTGTTCATAAGGATTGTTATAATTAAGTCTTGGTTGAGAAGTAGGTTGCTTAAAATTAGGAGGTATAAATTGTCCAGACGTCGTTCGACTTGCATAATTTAATGGAGCTGTAGTATAACCTACAGCATCTTTAGGAGGATTTGAATAGTTCAAAGGAGTTGAAGTGTAATGTGGTGTTGGTGCTGATACAAAAGTCTGACTAGGAGCTGTGTAATTGAACAATGAATTTGGAACAGTTTTCTGTTCACTTTCACAACGGTCACGAGCCATTTGTAAATAGTTATATTTACTATTTTGATAGGTTACCGGTACTGGTGGGTGTTGGTGTTCCATATTTTGCTGGTAAGATGTTTGATCGCTACGTGGATAGCCCATCTGATAATTTAGTTCAGAACTGAAATTAGAATTAGGCATCTGACCTGGAGTAGGTACAAATACTCTTTCTTGTTCCTTGCTAGCATCAGTTGGAGTGAACGCCATCTCTTGAGATCTCTCACACTCGTTGTACACACGTTTCTTTACTGGGAATATATTTTGAGTTTTAGAAGGCACTGTAGCTGCTGCTGATTGTTGTTGTTGAGGATATAATTCAGTGTACGTATTTTGAGGTGAACTTTGTTGAGAGCCAATGTACTGGGAGTAAACATTTTGATTTTGTTGATAGTCATCTGCTAAACTGGCAACATGCTCCTTTGGACTATTGACTACATTATGAGGACTATAATAAGGACTATTACTTGAATCTTGTGGACTCAATATTAAATGATGTGGACTCTCTTTAGGGCTATTGACAACATTGTTGTGTGGACTACAACTAGCATTGTGAGGGCTTCCAACAAAATTACCAGGACTGTCACTAGGCAAGTCACAAGGACTAGTAAAAGTCTGATGTGGACTTTGTCCATGTGGACTTGCTGTCAATACACTAGAAGGATTTCTTGGACTACAGCTACTGCTCTTATCCGAATTTGGTCTAGCAAAAGCGTCTTGATAGAAACCAACTTTAATGGGAGCATGAGGAATGTTTAAAACATTTTGATAGGGTTTTAATTGTTGGGGAGAATTTCCAGACTGTGGTGATAAGTAAGGTTCATCTAAACTAGGCCGAGGAGAATTCCAAGAGTCATTTTGGGAAGACTGCTCAGAAACACTACTGCCAGTACTTATTTTTCTTTGTCGTTTAGGAGCTAGCTTGTCTGGTGAAACTAACGGCACAGGTGTGTTTGTCTTCTTAGTATCCATGGTAGTAAAATTTTCTTTCTTATCTGCGTCTTTTAAAGTATAATCTTAAGGCACCATATCATTCATAGCATATGCAGTGTACATTGGAGATGTTTCTACAGCTTCTTGCTTGCGCTTTGGGGTTGGTTGTGTCTTAGGTGCTCCAAATGCTTTGAACCATGCACTGAGGTTTGGTGTTGCCTTTTCAGGCTTTTCTTCTGGTAATTCTGTTTTAACTTCTTCTTTTTTTATGAGATTCAAATTATCAACAGGACTTTTTTCAGGTTCTACCTCAGTCTTTTCTAGATCCTTGTCTTCACTTGGTCTCTTTGAAGAAAATCCCATGAGGTCAGTGTTCAATACTGTGCCTAAACTAAGAGTCGGTGCTGTTTCTAAATCAGCTTTAATTAATTTTTGTTTGGCGGTAGTTTGATTATCATCTGATTTGTTTGATATTAGGTTGCCTTTACTTTTACCTGGTTGTAGACGATCAATTGTTCTTTGTACCTCACGCTTTCGTTTCAAAGGCAATACAATAGATTCTTTTGTTGGTCGCTTCTTTTCCTAAAGTAAAAGCCCATTAATTCACAATTATTTTTGACAATAATATAGTTTATAAATATAAAAACATACTTTGAAAGGCAAACGTGGTTTATCAAGCTTATGAGCTTGACGGTACTCAGCATCCAAACGAGATGTGACTTCAGCATCATCTAACACTGAACCAGCTAAAGTAGCCATTGGTGAATTACTTGCTGATGAAAAGCTTGGGGTATCATCTAACCATTTATTTATATCCTACAAACATATGTAATCAATTAAAATAATGATGAAGGCATTTGTCAACAAAATATTTTAACTTACCCTCAATGTCTGCTCAGTAACTTCTTCGAGTGCTTGTACTTCTATTGCACTAGTATTTTTTATAATCACACTTTTCTTTATCTTAGGTAATTCTTTTGGTGCCTTCTTTTTTGATTCTAATTTCGAATCTAAACTGCAAGAATCATCATCAGTTTGATTGATCCCAATTTCAAATTTACTATGGCATAAACAACAAAATATAAGTTTAAATTATGAGTTATTTCAAGATTTTTTGTATGTATTTACCTTGAGTCTAAACACTCTCGTAACTTTTCTTCATTTTCTTTATCAGTATTATTACAAGATTCTTTACTACT